CCAAATATTTAGATGTGTGCAGCACATTTTATGGAGGATTGTTACTGTTTCCTGGGAGAGTAGACTACAATGCCGGCTGTTCTGACTCACAGACTGTAAGTACGTTTTCATTTAAAGGATTTGCCACTGATGATTCAAACGCGAGTTTTGGGCAGTGTAGAGTAGCGTTTGTAGTTTGTCATTTCTCCTATCACAAATGCCGACATGGTTTTATGTTTATGCTGCGCGATGCAACGCAACGCGTAAAAAGACAATATAAGTCATTATAATCAGTAATTATGTCCCCACTGGATGCAACGAATGCCTCGTTTGTAATGGGTTTTCATGTTTTTGTCTCGTCGCTCCGGCTGGGACACGGCATCAACAGTATGGTGAGGGGCGTAACATTTCCGTCACACGCTTGAGGTATTCGGCCAATCACAACGCACTGGATAGCTGGCCAATCAGAGCACACCTCGCTTTTTCAGACCAATGAGCTTTGTAAAAATCGACGCATTTCAGAAAAGCGGGGCATAGAGGAGAAACAATAATGTACAGTATGTGGAAAATAATGTGTTTTTTGAACTTTAAACCGCATAAACACATTTCATTACACCAAATACACAAAATAATGTTATTTTTAGCAGCATCATATGACCCCTTTAATACAATTTGAGCTTAATAATTAATAAATAATTAATCAAAAACAAAGCTTAATAAAAATATGGGCATTTTAAATACAAATCATATCAGACTCACCAATTTATTTATAGAGTCCTGGATTGATTTATATGTGGAATCCCTGAGTTCAAGTTTCTCAGACATGGTAACATTGTTGATTTCAAATCCAAAATTCAGGGCATATGACGTATCAGAAATTTCTTTAAAAATACATGAATTAATAATAATACATATTAGCTGACACTGTATGCATAGACCTTTTTACTGAAATATAGAAATGTGTTTACTGGTGACTGAACAGAGAAGAGAAAACTCACTTGTGTAAGTAATATTCACAAAGCTCACAGGGGAACCCAAGCTTTGTGCCCTTAGTTCTCGTTTAGTTCTGAGACGTGCGGCCAGCAGATTGGTAGCCAACTGTAATATTTTAGCCTCACTTGGTACAGGGCCCCGTGCGATAAATATGAGCCGAATGTAAATAACCACCTTCCCAATACTGAAAAAAAGGTAAATAAGAATAATGGTGAGTGAGATAATAAATAAAATGGTTACCTTTTACACAATACAATTTATTATTAAATTTTATTCTTACACATTTGGTGTCTCTACAGGTTTCTGAGTTGTTTTATTGACTGTTGGAGCTGGAGTTGTTAGGCCTGTAGTGCAAAAAATATTTTAGGAGATATTAAAGGAGAAGAATAATGCATAATATAGTATATTTAATAGTATATTTAAAACATGAAATAGTAGTTAATAGTGTTAAAGTGTCATATATTGAATTAATTCATCTCTATAATATGGAAAGATCACATACTATTCATAACTTTGAGAAGTTCTAGGAGAAAGTCACTGGGTGACTTGATGTCTTGTTGCCGGAAAATATAATCCATATTAGCAATGACCTCCATGGAATTTTTCCTGGGGGAATTTAAAACAGATTTTCTAAACTCGAACTTGAATCCACATTATTGCTCTGATTAAAGTATAAAACAAAAAGTCATTACGTACGTGAAATTGGCTTTTTTGAACTCAACAGAAGTGTCAGAGTCACTTAGGATCTGGTTCATCTGAAGAATTTATCAATAAACACAGATTCATCGTTTTATGATAATATTTTAAGGTTAATGTGTCTTTTTACATTTCTTTCTAAAACAGTCTCAAACCCACCTTTCTTTTTATGGAGTTTTGAATGAATGTGTAATTGCCATCACTGAGTTCAAGTTTCTCTGCCATGGATGGACTGTTGATCTCAAATCCAAATTTGAGGGCATATGAATTATCAGCAATTTCTTAATAAGAACACAGTATATAACACTAATTAGTTGATTATACACACAAGTGGTGAACTCTCATATTTATCCTCCTGCTCAAAGTGTAAGAGAGATTTATCAACTAGCCAGCAATAATTAAATAGGGAGATATAAGGAGATGTAAACTTTATTTTTATTTACAAAAATCACCATGCACTACAAAACATTAAACTTTAATATCAATTAAACCCTGTTACCAAATCTCTGCTATGTGCAACTTAGTTTAGTTTTAAAAGTTATATTCACAGCAAGCAAATCTAAACAGAATAGAACAACTCACTCTCATAGGTGACATTCACATAGCTCACAGGATCACTCAGGGTTTGTGCTGTGTCTTGTTTAGCTCTGAGATGTGGGGCCAGAAGTAAGTTGACCAAATCTTGAACATGACTCTCACTTGGTAGGTGGCCCCGTGTGATAAAAATTAGCCGAATGTAAAAAAACACCCTCCCAATCCTGAAAAAGATAATTAAAATAATAATAATCTACAGTACAGACAGGTAATATAAACAATCGCCTTTTAATAAGACTGATAATTTTTCTTACGAAGTTGTAGTTTCTTTAGTGGTTTTAGATGTGTCTGGTGTTGCAAGTGTTGTTGTTATTAAGCCTGTAAAACAAAATTGATTACTGGATGAGAAACACATGATAAATTATACAGTGAAAATGGCATGAACAGTCATGCCATACATATTGTTTTATTATATAATTAGAATTGACATACTGCTCTGTAAATTAAGCTCCTTTAAGAAAATGGTGGGTTGATCTTTGTTGTTGAAGATATATTCCATACTGCCATTAATGTGGTTTTCTGTGCACCTAGAAGGAAATGTTTTGAAATGTTTGAAAAAGCTAAAAGAAGCGAAAATATGACTATGTATTTAAAAGGATAGAATGCATAATAAATTGATTCTCAAATGGAAGTCAGTTTGCATATTAGGTGCAGTTGGAGGATATTTTAAAATAGCTTCAGTCAATATGGGCAAAACAGATTAAAGGGGTCATATGATGCGATTTCAATTTGTCCTTTCTCTTTGGAGTGTTACAAGCTCTTGGTGCATAAAGAAGATCTGTAAAGTGTACAGACTAAAGTCTCAAATCCAAAGAGATATTCTTTATAAAAGTTAAGAGTCAACCACGCCTACCTAAAACGGCTCGTTCTAACACGCCCCCACATGTCTACGTCACGATGTGGGAAGATTTGCATAACGCCGCCCAAATGTTCATGCAAAGAAAGAAGGCGTAACTTTTATTCTAGTATTGTTGTTGACGCCGCCGCCATGTCGTGAAGGCGCTGTGTACTTTGTTTAGCCTACCAAAAGAGGACGATATCCGCTTCGAGCTGATCCGTGCTGGTCGCTGAGGAAATACATCAACTTCGCGCTGTGGATCGCCGGAATGGCTTTCACCGTAGTCCAGCCAGGGGTCGTCACATGTGGGTGCCGCAAGCCCGCCGGATGCTCCTTCGTCGAATCCGCCGGCCGCGCCGTTCTCAAGCCCGCCCGCCACCACTCCCTCAAGCCGGCCTCTGCTCATTCTAGCCCGCCATGTGTTTCATTGTGAAAGTGAAACTACTTTGTTTGGCATTCCAAAAGAGGGCACGACTAGAAATCAGTGGTTAAGTTATATTTACAACACTGTTCCAGAACAGTTCAACCCAAATATTCAGATGTGTCCAGCGCATTTTATGGAGGACTGTTTCCTGATCCTGGTAGAGTAGACTACAATGCCGGCTGTTATAATGTTCTTTTTAGCAACATCATATGACCCCTTTAAGTACAAAACAGTTTAAGTCTTTTCAGGGTTTGATTCTTTTAATATACAAAAAATGTTACAGTGAATTAACAATATGAATATACATGATTAAAAAATGAATGATCTTACGTGAATTTGGAGAACTTGGCTTCAAAAACCTGACTGCCAGGTTCATTCAGAAGTGTGTTCAACTGCAGAGTAATATCAAGACATATTTATCATAAATGTGAGAGACCTGCATTTAAACCAAACTTTGTGTATATATATATATATATATATATATATAACTATATATGTTAACTACAACCACTGCTTACCACATTATTGATAACATTCTGCAGGTGCTGATAGGTGTTGTTCTTTAGTTCAGGGTCCTCTGGTATACTAATGTTAATCAGGTTAAATGTAAAGATGATTGCATAGGAGGTCTCTGAGATATCTGTTTGAATGAAAATTCAATCACATTCACATTATAGTCGGCACATTCATATTTCAAAATCTTTTCAGCTCAGAACAATGAAACTTACTCTTATAGGTGAAATTCAGCACCTGCACTGATTTGTTAAGCTGTGAATCTCTGGATTTCAGAAGAGTGTTGATAACATTGAGGACCTGAGTTTCACTGGGGACTGGAGATGAGGAGTTGAACAGCAGTTTGCTTGTAACCAGTGCTGAACCAGTTATGTTCATTAGAGGTAGGCTTGTTTTGCCAAGGACTGTTGTAGAAATTAGGAGGTGCATAGTAGGATTATTTTCCGTTTGAGAACTAGTCAAAGTTGTTGTTGTAAATGCTAAAAATGTTGTTGTTGTATTTAAATTAGATGCAGCTTGTGATGGGCTTGCAGTTGTGATTTCAGGCATAGCTGTGATTGTTTGATTAGTTTTAGCAGTTGGTGTTGTCATTGACTCTTCCACCAATGTTGAATAGGACATTCTGGTTGTAATTGCTTCACTACTAGTTGTTGTGATTTTAGAATTAGTTGTGGTTGTTGAATCAGTCATATCTGTTCTTCCTGTAGTTGAGAATGATGCAGAGGTTTTTGTGCTTGTGGGAGTCAATGTTGCATCAATAGAAGTTGTGGTTGGAAGTGTAGTTGTGGTATCAGTCACAATAAATGTTGTTGGATGATTTATAGTAGCTGGTGCTGTAATCAAGAGCATTGGTGTGGTTCTTGCATTTGTAGGAGCTGAAGTTGTATTTAACGCACCAGAGGTAGTAATTTTCATCTCAGACATTGTGCTTGTTGGATGAATTTTCATGGATGATGTTGTTATTGACTCCTCCACCAATGTTGGATGGTTTGTGGTGCTTGCGGGGGTCAAAGTTGTAGTTTTTACACCAATACTTGTATTAGTTTCAGGCATAGTTGTAGTTTCTGGATGAGTTGTGGTGTTTGGTGTGATAGTTGAAACTGTTGGTGGGGCTACTGTGGTTTTAAGTCCCAAGATTATAGTTGTCTCACCTACAGCTGCTGTTGGAAGTGTACTTGTGCCAGCCAAAGTTGTCGTTGATGCACCAGTAGTTGTTACTGGAAGTACTGTTGTTGTTTCAGACATAGTTTTGGCTGTTGATTCAGTTGTCGATAAGGGTGCTGAAGATGAGAATGATGGAGGGGGGCTTGTGCTGGCGATATTTGTTGTACCAATAGTTGTGGTTTCAGGCACAGTTGCTGCTGCATCAGTTCTCAACATTGGTGCTGCAACTGAAGATGTTGCAGGGGTGCTTATGTAAACCAAATTTATTGTTGTTGGAAGAACTGTTGTTTTAGGCTCAGTTGTGGTCGCTGCATCAGATGTCAGCGCTGGTTCTAGAAGTGATGATGTTGGATGGGTGCTTGTTGTAGCCACAGTTGTTGTTGCACCAATAGGTGTTGTTGGTAGGACTGTTGTTGTTTCAGGCATAGTTGTGGTTGCTGCATCAGTTGGCGATGTTGGTGCTACAGATGAGGATGCTGGAGGTGTACTTGTTTTAACCAAAGTTGTTGCTTTTGCAACAATAGTTGTTGCAGGAAGTACTGTTGTTGTTTTAGGCATGGTTGTGGTTTTTGCATCAGTTGTTGATGTTAGTGCTACAGATGATGTTGTTGGAGGGGTACCTTTTGCAGCCAAAGTTGTTGTTGTTGCACCAATTGTTGTTGCTGAAAGTATTGTTGTTGTTTCAAGTGAAGTTTTAGTTGCTATATCAGTTGTTGACGAGGGTGCTATGTTTGAGGATGTTGTCTCTGTAGTAGTTGTCTCTGTTATTGGAAGTGGTGTTGCTGTTTCTGCCAGAGTAGTGGTTGTTGGATGAATTGTAGTCAGTGTGGTTTCAGAAGCCAAAGTTGTAATTGCCTGGCCAATAGCTATAGTAGTAATTGCTGTTGGAGTTTTACCTACAGTAGTTGTTTTAGGATGGTTTGTAGTTGTGGAAACCAAAGTTGTAGTTGTCTCAACAACAGCAGCAGTTGTTGGAAGTGTTTTTGTAGTTTCAGGCATAGTTGTAGTTGTTGAATGAACTGTAGTGGTTGGCGATGTTGTGGACTTCTCCACTTCTGTTTGAGGAGACGTTGTGATTGTGGGAGCCAAAGTTGTAGTTGTCTCACCAATAGTGGCAGATGGAACTGTTGTGGTTTGCAACACAACAGAAGTTGTTCGATGATTTTCTGTTGTTTTTGGAATCAACGTTGTAATTTGCCCATCAATAGTTATAGTTGAAAGTATTGTGGTCTCAGCCACATTAGTGGATGTTGGATGATTTTTAGTCACTGTGCTATCAGAAGTCAGAGTTGTTGTCGTAACACCAACAGATGTGGTTGGAAGTACTGTTGTTGTTTCAGGGAAAGTTGTGGTTGCTGTACCAGTTGTTATAGTTGAGAATGTCGGAGAGGTGTTTGTGGCAGCCAAAGTTGTTGTTGTTGATTTTGCAACAATGGTTGTTGTGGTGTCATGTATAGTTGTGGCTACTGCATCAGATGTCAACATTGGTGTTATAGATGAGGATGCCAGAGGGGTGGTTGTGGCAGCCATAGTTGTTTTTGATGCACCAATAGTTGTTGTTGTGTCAGGCATAGTTGTGTGTGCTCCGTCAGTTATTGAAGTTGGTGACATAGCTGAAGATACTGGAGGTGTGCTTGTGATTGTGCCAGTTGTTTTTGTGGTTTCAGGCATAGTTGAGATTGCTGAATCAGTTGTTGCCATTGATTCTACAGTCAAGGATGTTGGAGGGATGCTTCTGGTAACCAAAGCTGTTTTTGTTACACTAATAGTTGTTGTGGTGTCAGGCATAGTTGTAGATCCTACATCAGTTGAAGTGGTTGGTCCTGTTGTTGAAAGTGTTGTGGTTGTGTTAGCCAAAGCTGTAGTTATCCTACCTATAGTTGTTGTTGAAAGTGTTGTGGCTTCAGGCACAATAATGGTTTTTGGATGATCTGTAGTCAGAGTGGTTTCAGAAGCCAAAGTTGTATTTGTTTTAACAGCAGCTGTCATTGGAAGTGTGGTTTTGGATTCAGCCACAGCATTTGTAGGATTGATTGCTGTTGTGGATGCCACATCTGTAGTTGTCTCAAAAATACTAGCAGTTTTTGTAAGTATTGTAGTTTCAGGCATATCTGTGGTTGCTGCTTCAGTTGCCGATGTTGCTGCTATAGTCAAGGAAGTTGGATGAGTGCTTGTGTTAGCCAAATTTGTTGCTGTCACACCAGTAGTTGTTGTGGTTTCAGGCATAATTGTGGTGGCTGCATCAGCTGTCGATGTTGGTGCTACAACTGATGTTGCAGTGGTGCTTGTGTAAGGTAAATGTATTGTTGCACCAATTTGTGCAGGGGTATAAGGAATAGTTGTGGTTGCAGTATCAGTTGTTAAAGATGGTGCTAAAGTTGAGGATGTTAGAGGTGTGCTTGTCGTAGACAAAGTTGTTGTTGTTGAACCAATTGTTGTTTGAACTTTTGTTTTTGTTTGAGGCATAGTTATGGTTGCTGTATAAGTTGTCAACACTGGTCTTATTATTGAGGAAGTGGGAGGGGTGGTTGTGGCAGCCAGAGTTCTTGTATTTGCACCAATAGGTGTTGTGGTGTCATGCATAGTTGTGGTTGCTGCATCAGATGAGGACTCTGGAAGGGTGCTAGTGGTAGCCAAAGTTGTTGTTTCATGACTAGCTGTTGTAAGTACTGTTGTTGCTTCAGGCATAGCTGTCATTGCTGAGTCACTTGTCAACATCTGTGCTATGGTTGTGGGTGTTGGATTAGTGGCTGTGGAAACCCAAGTTGGAGTTGTTGTTTCAATAATTGTTGTGGTGTAAGGAATGAGGATAGTTGAGGATATTTGAGGGGTTCTTGTTGTTGCACCAATAGTCGTTGTGGATTCATGCATAGTTGTAGTTGCTGCATCAGTTGTCATTGTTGGTGCTACAGTTGAGGATGTTGGAATGGTGCTTGTACTAGCCAAAATTGTTGTTGTTGTTGCAGTAGTTGTTGTTTTTGGAAGTGCTATTGTGTTGTCAGGCATAGGTGAGGTTGCTGACCCAGTTGTCAATGTTGATGCTACAACTGAGGATGCTGAATGGGTGCTTGAGCTACCCAAAACTGTTGTGGTTTCAGAAATAATTATGGTTGATACATCACTTGTTGTTATAGATGAGGACTTTAGAGGGGTGATTGTGCTAGCCAAAGATGTTGCTGCATCAGTTGTCCGCGTTAGTGCTACAGTTGAGGATGTTGGAGGGATGATTGTGCTAAGCAAAGTTGTTGTTGGTGTTCCACCATTAGTTGTTGTGGTGTCAAGCATAGTTGGGGTGGCTGCATTATTTGTCAACATTGGTCCTATAGTTGAGGATTTTAGAGGGGTGGTTGTGGCACCCAAAGTTGTACTTGTAGCACCAACAGCTGTTGATGGAAGTACTGTTGTTGTTTCAGGTATAGTTGTGGTTGCTGCATCAGTTGTTGATGTTGGTGCATCAGTTGAGGATGTTGGAGGGGTGTTTGTGGTAGGCAAAGTTTTAATTGCACTAACAGTTGTTGTGATGTTAGGCATAGTTGTGGTTGCTGCACCAGTTGTCGATGTTGGTGTTACAGTTGAGGATATTGGGGAGGTGCGAAAGGCATTTACAGTTGATGTTTTTTCACCAATAGTTGTTGTGGTTTCAGGCATTGCTGTGGTTGCTGTCAACATTGATGCTACAGTTGAGGATATTGGAGGGGTGGCTGTGGTAGGAAAAGTTGTTGTTTTGCCCATTGTTGTTGTGGTTTCAAACATAGTTGTGGTTGTTGTATCAGTTGTCAGTATTGATGCTACAGTTGAGGATGTTGGAGCAGTGGCTGTGGCAGTCAAAGTTGCTGTTGTTCCACCAGTAGTTGTTGTTGGAAGTACTGTTGTTGTTTCAAGCATAGTTGTAGTTGATGTTGATACTACAGTTGAGGATGATGGAGGGGTACTAGTGGGAGCCAAATTGGCTGTTGCATCAAGAGTTGTGGTGTCAGGCATAGCTGTGGTTGCAACCTTAGCTGTCAACATGGGTGCTATAGTTGATGATATTGGAGGTGTAGTCATGGCAGCCAAAGTTACTGTTGTTGCAACAACAATTGTTGTGGTTTCAGGCATGGTTGCTGCATCGGTTCTTGAGGTTGGTGCTACAGTTGAAGATAATAGAGTGGTCCGTGTTGTTTCACCAATAGCTGGTGTGGTGTCAGGTAAAGTTGTGGTTGCTGCATTAGCTGTCAATGTTGTTAGTACAGTTGATGTTTGAGGGGTGCTTGTGGCATCCAAAGTTGTTCTTGTTCCATCAATAGTTGTTGTTGGAAGTACTGTTGTTGCTGCTGTTTCAGCCATAGTGTCCGTTGCTCTGGTGTGAGGCATAGCTATGGTTGTTGCATCAGCTGTCGACGCTAGTCCTATAGTTGAAGATGTTGAAGGGGTGGTTGTGTTAGCCAAAGATGTTGTTGCATCAGTGGTTGTTGTGGTGTCAGGCATACTTGTGGTTGTTGCATCAGTTGTTGATGTTGTTGCCACAGCTGAGGATGTTAGAGTTGTGGTTGTGGAAGCCAAAGATCTTGTTGAATTAGTAGTTGTTGTAGTTTTCAACATAGTTGTGGTTTTTTCATCAACTGTCAATGGTGGCGCTAAAGTTGATGATGTTAGAAGAGTGGATGTGGAAGCCAATATATTTGTTGCATCAACAGTTTTGGTGCCAAGCATAGATGTGGTTTCTGCATCAGTTCTTGATGTTGGTGCTATAGTTGAGGATGTTGGAGGGGTGGCTGTGGAAGTCAAAGTTGTTGTTTCATCAACAAACGTTGAGGTGTTAGACATAATTGTGGTTGCTGCCTTGGATATTACTGACGTTGGTGCAAAAGTTAAGGATGTTGGAGGGGTAGTTGTGGTAGCCAAAGATGTTGTTGCACCAGTAACTGTTGATGTCTTTGCTACAGTTGAGGATGCTTGAGGGGTGGTTGAGGAAACCAAAGTTTTGATAGCTAATGCTGTTGTTGCATCAATACTTGTTGTGGTGTCAGGCACAATTTTGGTTGCTGCATCAGTTGTTGACACTGGTGCTAAAGTTGGGGATGTTGTAGGAGGGATTGTGGAAGCCAAAGTCATTGTTGCATCAATTTTTTTTGTGGTGTCAGACAGACTTATGGTTGCTGCATCAGTTGTTGATGCTGGTGCTATAGTTGAGGATGTTGGAGTGGTGGTTGTGGAAGTCAAAGTTGTTGTTGCATCAATTTTTTTTGTGGTGTCAGACAGAGTTATGGTTCCTGCATCAGTTGTTGATGCTGGTGCTATTGTTGAGGATGTTTGAGGGGTGGTTGTGGAAGCCAAAGCTGTTGTTTCATCAGTAGCTGTTGTGGTGTCAGACAGAGTTGTGATATGTTGTGGTGATATAGTTAAGGATGTTGGAGGGGTGGTTGTGGAAGTCAAAGTTGCTGTTGCATCAATTGTTGTTTTGGTGTCAGACAGAGTTGTCATTGCTGCATCAGTTGTTGATGCTGGTGCTATAGTTGAGGATGATTGAGGGGTGGTTGTGGAAGTCAAAGTTGTTGTTGCGTCAGTAGTTGTTGTGGTGTCAGACAGAGTTGTGGTTGATGCATCAGTTGTTGATGCTGGTGATATTGTTGAGGATGTTTGGGGTGTGGTTGTGGAAGCCAAAGCTGTTGTTGCATCAGTAGTTGTTGTGGTGTCAGACAGAGTTGTGGTTGATGCATCAGTTGTTGATGCTGGTGATATTGTTGAGGATGTTTGGGGTGTGGTTGTGGAAGCCAAAGCTGTTGTTGCATCAGTAGTTGTTGTGGTGTCAGACAGAGTTGTGGTTGATGCATCAGTTGTTGATGCTGGTGATATTGTTGAGGATGTTTGGGGTGTGGTTGTGGAAGCCAAAGCTGTTGTTGCATCAGTAGTTGTTGTGGTGTCAGACAGAGTTGTGGTTGATGCATCAGTTGTTGATGCTGGTGATATTGTTGAGGATGTTTGGGGTGTGGTTGTGGAAGCCAAAGCTGTTGTTGCAT